TCTCTCTCTCTCTCTCTCTCTCTCTCTCTCTCTCTCTCTCTCTGCATTCCTCTCCACCATTCTAGTATTTTTTCCCCTTTCCTTTCTCTTCTTTATGCCAATGTGAGAGGATGTGGCTTCACTTCAACTCTGGAAAACCAAAAACCATCTTTCCTGTGAGCTGTGCCTCTGTCTTCCTTCCCGTTCATTCACAAAAAAGCAAAGCAGTTCATGTCACTGTGGTCACCCCTGTGCCTATTTGGAAAGTTGGAAGAATGGTATGAGTGGATCTAGAAATAAGATTGGGGAGGTGTTTTCAGGAGCATGATCTTTCTGAGAGTGCTAACGCTAAGTGTGTGTTGGCATGAGAGAAGTGATATGTGAGGTCTCTCTTCTTGCTTATTCCCTCTCAGCCTGAGAGATGGCTTCAGTGACTGGTTGGAGGCAAGGAATACTGCCCTGGGCCCTCCTACCTCTGTGACTCTTTTTAGGCCTGCATATAGCCTTGTGTGATCCTTCATTTAGATCTCTCATTTAGAAGGTTCTTTCCTTTCCTCCCTACAGTGTGGATTTTCTCATCTTTTTTTTTCGTTTTGGGAAAGAGATGAAGAGGGGCAAAGTTACTTCTCATTCTCTCTCTGTATAGCAAGCCAGAACAGGGAGGGTGAGAATCTGCTAATGTGGGAGGGGCTGGGGCTGCTTGGAGCAGGAGTTTGCCAGTGTGTCTGTCCATCAGACATCTCCTTCACTTGGGGAGTTTGTACCTTCAACTAGAGCTTAGAGCCTAAGAGCATCTATGGGGAGGATCAATACTCATTTTCCTCCTTGCTGGCTTCCTCTGCCCTACTATCTGGACCCTGGAGGTTAAGTAGTCTCCCTGTTCTTCTTTATTTGAGGCTACATTCTTGACTGCTGCCGGTGTGGAGTTGAGATGGGATGGTGTGTATGATAAAGGAAACCACTTCCCAGCCAGTCTCCTGAGCTTTGTGCTGATCAGGCAGGTGTCCATGGAAGCAAGGTCCCACCCCCAGCTAATAAGATCATTCACCCAGGAATATGAATGAATTCATATCCCATTGCCAAGGCCCTCTAACCAGGCCGAGGTTAACTCTCCTCAGCAAATGCTGGGACATATCTGAGGACATAATTTCTGTAATTCAGGCCCCAAACTTTAGACTGTTTCTACAAATATCCAGTTTTTCCTGCTGGAATGGCTAGAATTTCAGGGTGCCTTTCTGGAGGAAGTTTAAAGAGTTGGTAAGGTCAGGGCCACTTATGGGGCCTCTTCGCTTGTTCCTCCCTGAGTCACCCTGTGTGATAGAAAATGCCCTGTTGGTGCTGATTCTCCAACACTTTTACCTTCTCCAAAACTCCTCCCAACATACCCAGCAAAGCCACAGTAGGAGGAACTTGAGGGGGAGGATTCAGGGGCCAAACTTGGATTCTGAAACAGTGTTTTTCCTTCCCTTAAAACTGGGCTGGATATGGGCTGAACTGGAGCTACTAGGTTTGATGACAGAACTTGAGCTAGTGGTAAGTGTGGGGATGTGAGTTTACCTCAAGGTGCCATTGTCACCCATGGCCCTCATAGGCCCTGTGCCCCAGAAGCTTGAAGACATGATAGAGCTAAGAAGAAATAGTGGATGTGTATGTGGCTCCCAGAGTTTGCTGAGAGAGAATGCCACTGTCATCTGTCTGCATTCAGCAGGGAAAGGTAAAGCAGGGCAGATCAGAAAGCCCTGCCATGGAGAGAAAGAGGTCCATTCCTAGAGATGCCTTTCTACCCAGAAGGGGTGTCCCGGAGCAGATGGTCTGGCAGGGCAGCACGGGAGGGAGGAGGTGCAGGCCTAGCAGCCATGCCAGAGCTTCAAAGACCGAGTACTCCAAGTGTGAGCTGGCATCACAGATCTATCTTCAAACTTAGGCCTTGGTCCTAGAAAAGAAAACAAAATTCAAAACTATTAAAATGTCCCCACTCGATGGGCTTGTGGCTTCTTCCTGTCAGGCCTCTCCAGTGGGTCCATTGTGGAGCCTCATAGATCAGACACCCATGTAGTTCCTTTTCTGTTACCCAAGTTTCTTTACAGTGAAGGGCTTCACCTGTCGGTAGACACCCCCCTCCTGTACCCCTCTCTAATACCATCAGTCCCTGATTCGGGCCAGGCTGGAGTCATACATATCCCCACTACTTACCAGCGCTGTCATCAAGGCCTGTCCTCACAGACGTTTCTGTGCACATCTCTAAGGGTAAGGACTCTTGAAAACTGAAAAATGCTGCCATCACATCTGATGTAATCTTGTATATCATGAGAGACCTAGCTGATGGTCCCATTTCTCTAATTATCACCTAGATTTTAAAAAATTTATTTTACCATTTTTGCATAGTCCGTCTGAGTTAGAGCCCATATAAGACTGCTCCTATATCACCGCGGTCGACTGTCTCTATCTAGTGGTGGTCATTGCCACAGCACAGTTGTCCGTTTTATCCTTTTTGTCTTCACTGCTTTTCTGGCAGTTTTTGTTGAAGGAACCAGGTTGTTTGTCTTGTACAGTTTCCCATGGAGCCCCTGCAGGCTGTACCCTGCGGTTCAACTGCTGCTTCCAGAGGATACTCTGCTTCTAGGTGCTGGCTGGGCTCAGCCATAGGTCACAGATCGACCAGCCACCCGAGGCTTTGCCTCATTGGACTTTTGAGTATGAGCCGCCCTTCCCTATTGAGTCTCCTTCCAGGTGTTGGCTCAGCACTGAGCACTGGCTTTGAGGCTTGAGCAAGGGCTCCTCCCTTGTGTCCTTCCTCACTAGTGGATAGCACTGTTCTGCTTGGCCCTGTCTGCCCAGTGCCAGTGATCCTCCCCAAGCCTCTTCTGGACTCTCAACCCTTCTAGTGGATCTGGTGTAATTGTGTAGGAGGGAACTGCCAAAGCACAGCTTCCTCTAAAGGATCACCCTAAATGTGGACCCTGTGTCACATACAGTCTGTGTCTTTGAGGCACTGCTCTCTACTGCCAGGGCTGACAGAAACCACAGGGTCTGCAAACTCTGAGACTTTAGCAATGTCTATGGGTTATATTCAACATAGTCAAGCCTGTTAGGAATACTGTATAAGCAATGCCACCACTGTTCAAAGGCCAGCTTTGGAGGTTGTGAGTCTTGTGTCCCCTGGGTCAAGCTATGTGACTCACGAACTTGAACGAGCCTATAATAGGCCAGCAGTGGATGGCAGCTGCCACAGTGACCACTGTTATGATTTACTAAGCCCTGTCTCCTTTACCTGTTGTTCTGGCTTCTGTCTAAGGGATGGCCCAAGTGGAAGTGATTGCTCTGTACCTGGCAGCTTCTACCTGATAGAGCTTCCATACTCCCTTCCCTGCCTCTCCTCGGCACTCCCCTCAGTGTCTCCAGTTCTCTCCAGCCCTAGTACCATTTTGCTCACCTCTCCTTCAAGGCTCTCTGGCTTGGCAAAGTACCAATCCTGGCTGACCAGGGTAGCTCTGTACTTTTAGGGCCTTCCAGCTACATAATACACAGGATCTAGAGCAGAGTAACAATGTAGTGCTCCTTATTAGGAACTGCAACACAAGAGTAGGGGCATTAAACCAAGTGCAGGGACTGTGCCACCATGTTCCTGTGAAGCCCTGTGGTCCAAACCCTCTGTGACTGTTGAGCTTCAGGAGACCCTGCTGTGGGCATGAGGAAAGATGAGGCTCAGAACAGGCTCTGTCAAGGTCTGCAGAACTACCTTGAGCCATCTTTAGGC